CCCTTTTGGTGGCTTGCCTGGTGCAGCTCCAGGCAGGGGCTGCCAGGACTATTAAAGGTAAGTGTGTTGTTTACACATGTGCAGACAATGCTTTCTTTTTTGGGGGAACCCCCCGACATTTTGGGTCTTTTTAACTGTCAGATTTTTCTGCAAGCCTAGTGGGTCCCCCAAGTTTCCTGAAGCATCTGTTTAAGTGTGCCCCCTATCTATGGCTTTAGTTATCTGCAGATGGAGGCACACTTGGGAATTAGTGGGGGCTGAGGGAGAAAACAAAGGGGGGCGGAATGCCCCCTCCCCGCAAATTTCTTGTGGGTCCTCACTTGTCTTATGTATTCACTGCATAATATATCCCATTCTAAAAGCTCAGGGTGGGCAACAAAAACGTAAAACCTCATTAAACACACAAGCAGAATAAAATCCAAGCAGTAATTACAGAGCCCCAGCTCTTGCAGAAAAATGGATTTTGGAACCTCTGTCCAAAATGATAGGGCCAAGGCCCATGCATGGTACAACCCTTGTGCTACAAAGATAACATGGAGAAGGGGAGAACATCCCGGGCCATTTTGGGTCCCCATGGAAGAGAAAAGTGGGGTATAAATAAAATAAAATAAAGGGCACATTCCTAGTAGTAGAGAGCAGAGCACAGGAGAGAACCCTCAGCCAGCCTGGGCTGGGACAAAGGCTGCTGTGGGGAAACAGATGGCCTGCTGTTTGCTTTTGCCTGGGGTCTAAAGTGGAGATAGGGAACTGGGTTTGGAAGATGTTAACACTGTGGCACGCATCCTCTGAGCTCAGTTTCAGAGCTGGTGTGGCACACTATAGCTGGACTCTCAGACTGGAACTGGGACAACCAGGTTTGAATCCCTGCTCTGTTGTGGAAGCTCGTGCAATGACCTTGGGCCCGTCACAATCTCTCAGCCTAACCTATCTGTCAAGGTTGCTGCTGTGGGGATAAAATGGAGGGGGCAGGAAGGCAATGACATAAGCTGCTTTGGGTCCTAATTAGGGAGAAAAGGGGAATGTACATAAAAAATAAGCATGCATAAATACAATAAGCATAGTTTGCAACACAGCCATCTGACTGTAAGAAGGACCGATTCCCTGCATTATCATCTCCTGAGCTGCCACCAAAATAAATCAATTAAAAGTGAACCCAAAGCACTCATTCACAGAGGAGGCTGGCTTCTGTGTCTCTGCACAATTCACAGTTCTGGCCTTGCCTCCTTCCATTCAGTCTCCCTGGAGTGTAGGACTGCCAACTCTGGGTTGGGAAATTTCCTGGAGATTTGGGAGACAGAGTCTGGGGACGGTAGTCATTTCTTCCAGAGGAACTGATTATGTCATTCAGAGATCGGCTGTGATTCCAGAAGATCTCCAGGCCCCACCTGGAGGCTAGCAACCCTACTGGGGTGCATAGAGAAATTCAGCTGTGCCTCAGGCTTTGGGAACAATGGCCTCACGCTTATCACTCCCAAAGCAGAACACCAGCAGAATTAACTAACCTAAGAAGAGGCTGCTTGTTCTGCCTCTTTATGAGTCCTTCCAATGAAGTGATCCAACTGGATCAGTGATTCATACAGAAACATAGGGGATATATTCCTAAAAGGATGGAAGTGTAGTTCTTCATCTTATACATTCTAAAAGTAAACCCTTTGGGGTATGAAGGTGAAGAGTGCTGCCGATTTTAAATCAGAAAGAGCAGAATAGAAAGGTCCCTGCCAGATACGATCCAGAAGGAAGAGGGAGAAAATGCACAAGGCTACAGAATAGCTGATAACCAGAATCCAGCAGAGACAATGGTCAGCTATGAAGCTTACTCAGTTATCATGAAAACAAAAAGTAAGGGGTAAGGAACATATGCACCACCCTGAGCCCTGAGGATGGGTAGTACAAAAATGCAAATAAATAAACAAAATCCCAGCAAAATCAATTCTGCTTCGATGTTATGATAACTAAGAGTTTCCAGGCTGCTAGGCTGACAGAAATGGAAGTCCTTCTCATATACAGACCCAAAAGCACCACTTCAGAGCTTTCATAATGGAGAGCTTACAACGTGCCAATCATTGGAAGCCAAAGTTAAGTACTGCTGAAGGACTGCCACATTTGGCATGTCAGTTCATACCTGGAACATCTCATTGATTCCCTCTCCAGTCTGTGCTGAGGTCTCAAAATAAAGAAAGCCCCTGCTTTCCGCCCACAGTCTCCCTTCACTCTCATCAACACAACGGAGCTTGGCACAATCAATCTGAAACACAAGTAATAGAAGATTGTGAGCCTGGTTTTCAAACTGACCACACACGTTAGCCTCTTTTTGTGAGAAGGTCCCAGAGTCCAACACCTCTGATCCACACAACAGACATCTGCAGGACTCACATTTACCACCCAGGAACAATTGCACCACAATTGCAGAGGCAGAGCAACTGTCTGATATTAGAACATTCCTAAATATTTCTAGCCCTCATGGTTGCAGAGATCGTCTAGGATTACCATACTGTAATCCAAGGCTTGACAATTTCCAGGTGCCAAGTTGCCACGGTGCCTAGAAATTTCATCATGGCAGCTACCAACAGCTCTTAACAATGTCCCCTTCCCCATCCAAGGCCATAAGGGCCTTGGCTAGCTTTGGAAAGCTCTGGCCGATCCTCATTGTTCAGAGTGAATATTTGAAGCTTGAAATGGTATAAAGTAATATTCACACTGCATTAATACACTTTAAGTAATGAAAGCTGGAGGCCTGAATAGGTATGTCTTTTGAGAACATTTGGTTTTACAGTAGCAAGTATTAGAAAGCATGGTCATTAATCTACAAAACCCTGAAGGCAGAAAAATGAGTCTGGATCCTAAATTTCTGGGCTCGCTCCTAGATCTACAGAAAATTTGTCAAGGCCTGCCTTAGTCACACAAATCTAGGCCTTGTAATCTACATATTATGCAAAAATATTTAAAATATGCAACTTAAGCAGACTAACCTGGCATTTCTGATTTAGGAGACTATAAACATCTTTATACCTTTTGTACCCTATGAACAGTAAGGAAGAAATAACAGAAAATCTTCCTACCCTGACTACTTGCTACTGTGATCTGATAAACATCAAAGAAGTTATATGCAGTTTATCTGAAGATAATCAAGCAGTGAGAGTTTTGGATTCTTTGTAGATTCTGTGACCCAGGGCAAAATGCCTGAAACACAGACTCCATTATAATCTAAGCTTTTGTGTAAAAATCATATCATAACTGGCTCTTCCCCTGTAATGAATTTTATTATTTTGTGTATTTAAAAAAGTATTAACCCACCTTCCAATAAAATATTCCCCAAGTGATGAAGAGCAATGAAATAACAATAATCACATCAAAAAGAAATAGTAAAAATGGTTAAATAGCACACAGCGGTGGCAGGTAGTAAGTGCATCTATACATGGTATATTCAGAACATGAAGGCTCCATTTTAGCTATAATGCTTAATAAGCGTTGGCCAGTCCTCCATTAATTTGTCTGATCCTTTTTTAAAGTCCATAATTCACATTAGCAGAGGCTCCCCAACTAAACAGTGCTCTATGATTTGAGGGTCTCTGCTAGAGAACAACATTAACAGCAGAAATTTTCTACATTTTATGCTCCTCTTGGCTTACCTTGTTGGCACAAACCACAAACACAATGTTTTCCATGTTTCCATGTGGCCCAAGCTCCTGCTTCATCTCAGCAAGCCATGAATCAAGGGAATCAAATGACTCCTTCTGCCCAACGTCATACACTAGGATCACACCTTGGGTGTCTTTATAAAATTCATTGCGCACCTACACAGAGCACAGAACCAAAGCAGATCGTTACTCTGGATCATCAGGATGTCCTAAGGAAAAGAACTGACCTCAAGTACCACAAACCACTGGTGCATGAGTTTGGAGTCTATGAGTCCATCTCCTGTCACATGCATCCCAATGTACAACCAACCAAATACAGACACAAGACTGACAGCTGTGTTAGCATCCATACTGAACTGGGAGCAGCACTGGAGGAACATGGTAATTTCACACCATAATGCTCATTCTTGAAATGGTGCAACCTGCCTGAGAACGGGCAGAAGAAGCAGATAAAGTGGAAAGTGTCCTCTGTCTAGAAGTAAGGGGATACGATCACTTTATACTTAATTATGGTTTTACACAGATAAAATAGCATACTTGAGCACTTTATACTTAATTATGGTTTTACACAGATAAGATAGCATACTTGAGCACTTTATACTTAATTATGGTTTTACACAGATAAGATAGCATACTTGAGCATGGCAGAATGGATGACAAACATGACAAACAGAGGTTCCATCAGTCCCACTCCCTCCAGTTTTTAAAAGATAAGCATGTCAACATACAAGTACCACAGAGTAAGCGTGACTTGTCTCCCAACTATAGCTGGACATTTACTACATGTTTCCACATAATATCCAGCCTACAACTGCTCTGGTTGCAAGCCAAAGTATAAATTAGTCACAGATCTCCAACTGTGATAATGACATGGGTCTCAGCAATTAACAATTTATTCAAATGTATATCCAAAACAGCTGCAGGAATAGCAACTATGTTAGCTTCTGTACTGAATCAAGAGCAGTGCTGAAGACCCCACCGGAAAGACCCATGTACTGTCTACTTAGACTCACAATAGCTCTCCAGGGTCTCAAGCAGAGGAAGCTGCTACCTGAGATCCTTTAGTAGAAGCCAAGATTTCCAGTCATATTCTTGGCCTACAAACCATGAAGCCATCTAGATTCCCAGAGCCAGGAGTCTCCAGTTCTGAGCCTTGGCCTCATCATCATCACCCATTCTTCATTCCGTTACCTCATAGAAGAAGGCATGCCCAGCCATGTCAAAGATGTTCACTTTAATTTCTCTGTCCCGGACCTGCACTCTGAAAGAGAAAGGGAGGGAGCCATCAGATCCAAGAACAGGTACTCAAAATTCCTTTTCACTCTTTTTTAAAAGACACAGATAATAATTAAGCACACCACCTAGGACAGGAGGCATAAGCACAGATGAATTCTGTTATACTTGTTAAAAATTGGATAACAAGGTCATCCGGGAAGCACGCTGCTAACTCCAAAAAAGAGCTGGGGCATGAAATACAAAAGCATTCAGACAATATTCTTTCCTTCTATTACTTTTCACTGAGGCTTTCACTAACATCACAGTAAGAGTTGGACTGACATTCAAAATCTTCTCCAGGTGAACTGCCCCAACTATCCCCCAAGGATGTATCTGCATGGAGAACATAATGTGCTTCACAAGATTCTCACAGACACAGCAGCAGTTCCTGAGCAACAATTTCTGCCCTTGTGGTAGCAGAATCTCTGATCGCCACATTCATTCATCTCAGTCAGAGCATGGCTTGTAATCATTCTCACACATTTGTACCTGTCCATTTTTCCTTGGTTCGCACACCAAATTTTCTATTATTAAAGTTACCATGCATTTTCATATCACAAGAGAGGAGTACTCACTTGGTGACGCCATAATCAATGCCAATTGTTGCGAGGTACTTAGGCACAAATCTCTTTTCACAGTATCTTTTTATAATACAGCTCTAAAAAATAAAACAAGAGTTAATTTTACCCAGTTATAACCTAGTTATCTATGCAGCCCCCATTGCCCTCTGAAGTTTGCAAAGACTATTCTAATCTTTAAAAAAAAAAAAATCTCCTGCATGAGTGTATAATCTTTTAGATTTAAGCAAATGAAAACAAAACATACAACCAAAAACACTGAATCCCTGCCAACAATTCAAATGATAGTTTCCTGTTTTATTTCTTTAAATGATACTAAGGAACCTTACTAAGTGTCAGAGCCAAAGCCAGACAGGTCTCTGCTCCCTCTAATCCAGGGAACTCCACTGAAAACATGAAAAGCTGCAGCTTCAGAAATCAAGGGGGTGATAGGGAGAGAAGAGAGAAAACCTGCCCAAAGTATGTATGTTATTCAGTGGAAATGGACAATATCTTATTTCTGTTTTTTCTTACTGTACCTTGTTTGCAGATTTGCATGAGAAATTAGGGGAAAGGAGCATACCTTGCTTTGCATGCAAAAATCCCAGGTTCAATCCCTAACATCTCATAAGAACATAAGAGATGCCAATGTTGGATCAGGCCAAAGGCCCATCCCGTCCAACACTCTGAGTCACACAGTGGCCAGAAATACCAGTGCCATCAGGAGGTCCACCAGTGGCAGTGAATTCCAAGTGTTAATCACTCTCCAGTTAACAGGCTCAGATACCAAATGATGCGAAAGAGCTGCTGCCAGTCAGAGCAGACAATACTGATTCAGTAGAAGGCACCTTCATGTGGTGAACTAACTAAAACAAAATAGCAGTGGAGTGCTTTCTTCTGCTGTTTCACTGGAAAATTATGAATGCTTTACTCACTCTGTTTCCCTTCCATTTCTTCAGCTTCTGTTTGCTAATCAGTCTGATTTTTAATAGTGTAAGGGAGCCTGCCTAGTTCTACATTGCTGTAGCATAAATATATTTGTAAGCATCATGTATGTTTAAAAACAATATAAACAATAAAAATATTAAGAACATAAGAGACGCCAATGTTGGATCAGGCCAAAGGCCCATCCAGTCCAACACTCTGTGTCACACAGTGGCCAGAAATACCAGTGCCATCAGGAGGTCCAGCAGTGGGGCCAGGACATTAGAAGCCCTCCCACTGTTGACCCCCCCCCAAGCACCAAGAAGACAGAGCATCACTTGCCCCAGAGCCCCTAGCTATACCTTGTGGCTAATAGCCACTGATGGACCTCTGCTCCATATGCTTATCTAATTCCCTTTTGAAGCCGTCCATGCTTGTAGCACCCACCACTTCCTGTGGCAGTGAATTCCATGTGTTAATCACTCTTTGGGTGAAGAAGTACTTCCTTTTATCCGTTCTAACCCGACCGCTCAGCAATTTCATGGAGTGCCCACGGGTTCTTGTATTGTGAGAAAGGGAGAAAAGTACCTCTTTCTCTACCTGCTCTTTCCCATGCATAATCTTATAAACCTCGATCATGTCACCCCTCAGTCGTCTTTTCTCCAAGCTAAAGAGCCCTAAGCGCTTTAACCTTTCCTCATAGGGAAAGTGTTCCAACCCTTTTATCATTCGAGTTGCCCTTTTCTGCACTTTTTCCAAAGCTATAATATCCTTTTTAAGGTGTGGTGCCCAGAACTGCACACAGTATTCCAAATGAGGTCTCACCATTGATTTATATAGGGGCATTATTATATTGGCTGATCTGTTTTCAATACCCTTCCTAATAATCCCCAGCATAGCATTGGCCTTCTTTATTGCAGTCACACACTGTCTCGACATTTTCAGTGAGTTATCTACTACAACTCCAAGATCTCTCTCTTGATCTGTCTCTGCCAGTTCAGACCCCATCAATGTGTATTTATATTTAGGATTTTTGGCTCCAATGTGCATCACCTTGCACTTGGCCACATTGAACCCCATTTGCCATGTTGACGCCCACTCGCCCATCCTTGACAGATCCCTTTGGAGTGCCTCACAATCCTCACTGGTTTTCACCACCTTGAACAACTTTGTATCATCCGCAAATTTAGCCACTTCACTGCTTACTCCCATCTCCAAATCATTAATGAACAAGTTAAAAAGCAGTGGACCAAGTACTGATCCCTGTGGTACCCCACTGCTTACCCCCCTCCACTGGGAGAACTGCCCATTTATACTCACTCTCTGTTTTCTATTAATTAGCCAGTTTTTGATCCATAAAAGGACTTGTCCTTTTATCCCATGATTTTTGAGCTTGCTTAGGAGCCTTTGATGAGGAACTTTATCAAAAGCTTTCTGGAAGTCAAGGTAAATAATATCTATTGGATCCCCCTTGTCCACATGTTTGTTCACCCCCTCAAAGAACACTAACAGGTTAGTGAGACAAGATCTTCCCTTACAGAAACCGTGCTGAGTCTGCCTCAATAGGTTTTGTTCATCTATGTGCCTACTAATTCTTTCCTTAATAATGATTTCCACCAATTTACCCGGTATCGACGTCAGACTGACTGGCCTGTAATTTCCTGGATCACAACATCTGATCCGAGGGGAAGGGCTAAAACACAACCTAACAGGTTCTTTGAAACTAACCATCCAGAAAGCATTTGGAACCAATCAGGTACAACAATCCCCTATCTTGCTAGCCTGTTATGTGCTGAATGACAGACATTCCTATTGGTTAATGGTTATCATTCCCTTTAGCTGAAGATATGTGTGGGGAACTATTGTTTAGGAATAAGACGAAATACTTTGTTTTGCCCTAATGGTCCTGAAGCAGAATATCCAAGAAGCTGCCTACTTCAGATAAATTTGTGGAGATCATTGGAAGGTATCAGAAATGAGACAAATGGGAACCAGGGTCAAATCTCTTCTGTAGCAGCTCCTAAATTTCTTCTGTAGCTCGTTGGACCTTTCCCTTCTTCTAGACAGTAAAGGAGTTTGGGGCATCTTAGTTTTAGAATAACTAAGGGAACCCATAAAAATCATAAATTATACATGTTGAAGAGAACGTGGCTCAAAGAACTTTTTCTCCCTCTCCTATAACACTAGACGGGGGTCATTTTGTAGAAAAAGAGGTGCAGGAGCTCATTATCATAACTCATTTGCATAACTCATTTGCATATGCCACACACCCTGACGTCACTGGAAGTGTGTCAGAAGGCTCAGGCTTCACTGGACTGTTTTGGATTGCTAGCTATTGGGGGGGGGGGGGAGGAACGTGCAGATCTGTCCTCGCAGAGTAGGGAGAGCTCGTACCTGAATAACACTTGGTCTTAAAGGTGCCACTGGACTGTTTTGGGCCCGGGAGGGGGGCTCTGCAACTTACCTGGCTGTTTCTTGCTCTGATTGAGGGCTGCTGGGAGCAGGGGGTGGGGCTTGTTGCATGTGCCCGCCCCCTGGGCTCTTTACTGCCGGAGCTCCACTCCTGTGCGCTCCTGCAGGAAATGACCCCTGACACTACAATTTGGGGACGTTTCCTGTAAGATTAATGGGCAAAGGATTCATAAGAAGAGCTCTGCTGGATCAGACTAGTGGTCCACCCAGTTCCACATTTTGTTTCACACAGCAGCCAACCAGTTGTCCTGGAGGGCCAACAAACAATGGCACAGAGGCCAAGGTTTTCCTTTGAACTTGCCGCCTAGAACTGGGTTTCGGAGGTTATTGCCGCTTAATATGGAGGTTCCCTTTACTCAACATGGCTAGTAGGCATTGATTAATCTGTCTAACCCCCTTTTAAAGCCATCTATGGTTATGGCCTCCACTGGCAGTGAATTCCACAATTTAATTCATTGGGTGCCCCTCAAGTTCTAGTATTATGAGAGATGGTAAAAAGCTCCCTCTATCCATTTTCTCCATCCTATGCATAATTTCATAGATCTCTATCATGTCCACCCTTAGCTTTCTTTTTCTCTAAACGAAAGTTTCAGACCCTTCCGCTGTTCCTCGTAGGAAAGATGCTTCAGGACAGATAAAAGGAAGCACTCCTTCACTCAAAGCACAGTTACCTTAATTCATTGCCACATGATATCTTGATGATTACCAGTGCAGTAAACTTTAAAATGGGGTTCGACATCCAGTCATTAAACCTCTGAATACCAGTGCTAGAAGGCAATGGGGGGGGCACTGACTGGGTATTCTGTGAAACAGGACGCTAGACTAGATGGACCATTGGTTTGAACCATCAGGCATAAATTGTTAAGAAGCAAGGCCTTCTCAGCAATAGTGCCTTCCTATGCAACTTGGGAGATTCACTTATTTGGAGGTTTTATGGAATCAACAGAAGCCACATTTTTGAAGCTAAGTGTACAAACATGCATGATACTGACTTATACTGAATCTGAGCCATCAAAGTCAGTATTTTCTACTCAGACTGGTAGCAGCACTCCATGGTCTCAGGCAGAGGACTTTTACTTCACCTGCTACCAGGCCTGTAGCTAACGCGGGGCCCACGGTGCCTGGTCCCCTTGCGTTTCTTCTGGGCCACTTCCCTCCCGGGCTGTTTCCGAAGTGCCTCGACTCACCACCTGTGCGCCGTGCTGCCTCCAACGGCTGCCTGACAATTGAGCTCCTTGGGCACTCCAGAGAAGTGGAATCCTTCATCCCCAGAGCTACCTTCCGACACCCTTTAAACACAGCCAAATTGCCACCAGCCCCTGGCGGCTTCTCTTCCTCACCATCCACCATCTCTTAACCATAGGACCGGTCTCTGTACACCAGTCCGCGTGTGCCTGCTTTAAAAACCACCTACCTCATGCCACCGCCCAAGTCCCCCCAACAAGCCCCGTGGGAGTTTTTCTAAGGGAGCCGCGGAGAGCGTGTGCCAGAGGCGCCGAGGGGCAGCCCTTTACCTGCACTCTGAGCCGCCCCCGTGTCACGCACTCCCTCCCGGCTTCCGTGACCTTTGTGACTGGAGGCGACATGCCGGGCAGGGGGGGAGTGGAGGAGGACGCCTGCTCCCGCTGCCGCCACCTCCAGTGTTCCCTCTAAGCTGAGTTAGTGTGAGCTAGCTCACAGTTTTTTAGCCTCTGGCTCACACATTTTTGTCTTAGCTCAGGAAGGATGGCTAATTTACAAACTAATTTATGCAGCAGCCAAATCTCCTGCTCACAACTTTAATGCCAATAGCTCACAAAGTAGAATTTTTGCTCACAGGGCTCCATAGCTTAGAGGGAACATTGGCCACCTCCCTCGACCACCCCCCCACCCCCACCTGCCTCATCCTCCCGCCCAGCAAAGTGGCCGAGAGAGCGCGTGGCCTGCCACCGCCAGAGGGTTACCTGGAACTTTTGATTAAATTAGCTGCCGGCTCCCCTATGGCCCCCTCCCAAAAAAGTCCCTAGCTATGGGGCTGCCTGATCTTTTAACTGGAGATGCCAGGGATTGAACCTAGGACCATCTGCATGCCAGATGGATGCTCTACCACTAAGCCACATTATTTCATTCCAGTTCCATGATATTTTAATGAGCACCTGCTTCTAGTATGGATTTATAATTGTTACTATTTTACTTGATTTACTTGAAATGTGTTCATTTGGTTTTTTTATTGTTTGCCACATTGAGGCTTTTAAAAGAAATGGTAGTTGAAGTCAAGTTACTTCAGGAATCTGTCTGCCAATTTATATTATGCCTCTATTTTATTGTTGTTGTTTATTGTTCTGGTTTGACTTTATAATACATTTAGGGTACTTTTCAGGTGAGAGCCAGAATATAAATGTTTTAGATTAAAGGTAAAAGTAAATAGCAAGGGTCTGGGCTGTGAGCAGTAAAGAGTACCGTGTCTTCCCCCTCAGCTTCTGTTATGTTTGTGCCTCTCTTGACCAGTCTCCCGGCCTCCTCCTCCTCCTCAGAAGCCTTTGCAGCTGGCAGCACAATTTGCGCCCACCTCAACTGTCAGAATAGTTAGTATACGATGGGCGCACCGGATTGGTTTTCCCCCAAGTCATTCAGCATTCCGCGGACCAATAACGCGCCATCCCACCTGCCCTCTCTGTACCTTGCCAACCTCTGCGTTGCCCATGGAGATGACTTTGATCCTCAACGACTTGCGCGGTTCCTTTCGCTTCGCATCCATATCCGCGCAGAGAGTACCCGCTTCTTTAGCGAACACTGGATCCGATTCAGACAGCCCCAGCTGGACCGCCACCGCACGTACCACCCATCCGGATCTTCTCTTCCGCTACCCTGCTTCCCATGGTTCTTGTTCCCGAAGCTGCCACTGCCGTTGCTGCAAGTGCCGGACAGCGCTCCGCGAGTCTTAGCGATCTCGCGAGAACTGGGAGAAATGCGCTCTGCGCGCATGCTAGAGGTAGGAGGTCTCGCGAGACTGAACCAAAGTTGTCAAATCCCTCAAATATAATGGGAGGGGGGCTGCTATTTCACTTATTGTGGCTGGAGAGAACCAGGGAAGGTGCGTGGCAGGCAAAAAATATAGAGACTACCCTGGGCTGCTCATAACAGTTTGGAGCACGCTGGAGAGAAGGAACTGCGATAGAACAAGCAGGAAAGCTGCCAGAGCTAAGAGGGTGATCCCTGTTTAATAATTTGAATGGTTCAAAAAGCAAAGTAAAGCTACATATAGCTGTTTTTCAGGTCGAAGTGGTAAATGTAGTGGTTTTTAAAAATGGTGATGGGGTTCAAGTCATTAATGTAAAAACTCTATAACTGTGACTGTTGTTGGGGGTATATATACTCCAAAAGTGGTCTACAAAAGTGGTGGTGGGGGGTATCAGAACTTCTGGAGGCAGAGAACGGGCAATCAGGGTTTTAGGCAGGCCTTCCTTTCCACTTGCAATTACTTTTTACAGCCAGCAGAAGAGACTTGTTTTATAAACGCTAACCCTCCCCTGAGGATAAAATCCTAAATTCTCCCCCAGACCCTTATGATATTAAGCAGTTGGCTCATGGCCACCAGGCATGAGAGACTTATTGAATGTAGGCCTGAGATTTTTGTGTTGTAGGCATATATTATTTATTAATTTATTTGCTATTTGTCTGAAGAATGTTTTAGTTATTATTTGGAGAGGTAGTAATTTTTATTACCTTGTGCATTTCTAACTGCTTGCAGATATTTAAATTAATCAATCCTCTGAACTTGAAGCCTATAATCTCAAGTGTGAATGCTGGATGGCATTACTGAGTGGTGAGTGGGAAAGATTTGGGTCCCAGTTATCTGAGAGAAAGACAGGTATATAAAAATTGTAAATAAATTATATGTTCCAGGGGTTCCTCTTCATATCTATAGAAGAACAATAACTCTGTCTTAGACTTCTTTCTCATAGGTTATGTGTTTTGAGTTTGATGCTGTCAGGAAGTGCCCCCCCCCTTTCCCATAGCATTGTGGTGTTTTCATAGACCACCTGGATTTTACCCAGATTTTTTACAGCTGTTCCTGACCCTGCTTTGCTGCAAAGTTTTGGGAAAGATTGTAACAAAGCTTGGATGACTGCAATGTGGATGGGAAAGTTTAGATTTTCCCAGTCTTGCCCACATGGCAGCCATTTCCACCACCCCATCTCTGTGGGGGGCTTTGTTTTTTAATCAGCAAATGAGTGACATTATAACAATCTCTGTGTGAAGTTTTCTGAATTCCTTGCTTTCACATTCTGTATTCCATCGCTGATGGTGTGTGTTCAGTGGCCACTGCCAGCGGACTGAGGTATGAAAACCTCCATATGGATGCCCTGTATCAGCAGCTACGGTAACCTCAGGGAAAGCAAACATGCCTATCCCTGTGTGGTAAACCTCTTAATATTGTTTGCTTTCATACTCTAAACTCTAGCTGTGCTTTTTTCCAGAATAAAGATTTTGCGGTGCAAGAACACCATCTAGTGTATTGTTGCAAGTAATTCAGGTGGGTAGCCATGTTGGTCTGAAGCAGCAGAACAGAGTTTGAATCCAGTGGCACCTTTTAAAACTAACAAAGTTTTATTCAAGGTATATAGGCTTTTGTGTGCACGCATACTTCAGATACAATGAAATAGAAATTACCAGTCCCTACCTATAGGTATGGCACTGCGGTGGCTCAAGTGGTTAAGACGCTGAACTGCAGGCTGTGGAAGGTCAGTAGTTCAGCAGTTCGAGACCCGAGTGTGCCGCATGAAGGAGTGAGCTCCCGTCCCTAGTTCCAGCTCCTGCCAACCTAGCAGTTCGAAAGCAAGAAATTGCAAGTAGATAAATAGGTACCACTTCCGTGGGAAGGTAACAGCGTTCCGTGCGCCTCGGTGTTTAGTCATGCTGGCCACATGACCACGGAAACGTCTTCGGACAGCGCTGGCTCTTCGGCTTTGAAACGGAGATGAGCACCGCAACCCTAGAGTCGGACTCGACTGGCTTTCAAGCAAGGGAACCTTTACCTTTTACCTATAGGTAGAGGATGACAGTAAATTAGCATACAGCATAATGAAAATGTTTAAAGATTCAAGGACCAAACAGGAATAACAAACTTAGTTTATATGGTTACCATTTGTTTGAGTGTAACGGTAGGGTCTTGGTTATTCTCAGCATTCCACAATTAAGGGTACATCTGCCCATCGGTCTCCAAATCTGACATATTTATTTCCTTCACTATGTTTCCCCTCCAGAATTAAACCCAAGCAAATGGTAATGACATAAACTAAGCTTGTTATTTCTGTTTGCTCCTTGAATCTGTTAAACATATTCATTATGTTGTATGCTAATTTACTGCACACCCTCTACCTATAGGTTGTTGTTGTTGTTGTTCAGTCGCACAGTCGAGTCCGACTCTTCGCGACCCCATGGATCATCTCCCGCCAGGCCCTCCTGTCTTCCGCCGTCCTCTGAAGTTGGCTCAATTTCATGTTTGTTGCATCGATGACACTGTCTAACCATCTCATCCTTTGCCGTCCCCGTCTTCTTTGACCTTCAATCTTTCCCAGCATCAGGGTCTTCTCCAGGGAGTGCTCCCTTCTCATTTGGTGGCCAAAGTATTTGAGCTTCAGTTTCATTATCTGGCCTTTCAGGGAACAGTCAGGGTTGATTTCTTTTAGGATTGACTGATTTGATCTTCTTGCAGTCCAAGGGACTCTCAAGAGTCTTCTCCAGCACCATAGTTCAAAAGAATCTATTCTTCGGCGCTCGGCCTTCCTTATAGTCCAACTCTCGCAGCCATACATGACTACTGGGAATACCATTGCTTTGACCATGCGGACTTTTGTATGGACTGGTAATTTCCATTTCATTGTATCTGAAGAAGTGTGCATGCACACAAAAGCTTATACCCTGAATAAAACTTTGTTGGTCTTAAAGGTGCCACTGGAATCGAAGTTTGTTGCAAGTAATGTTTCTCAAGCCCAGCATTATGTTTTCAGGGAGCATGACCCCCTAATTAAAAGAAAGTCAGCAATAGTACATTTTAGCTTTCTTTAGTACACTCAGCTCCCCTGACCTCTTACTCATGCAAGTGGGCAGTACATCGCCATTAGTTTAAACTGAGCCAGGGTTGCCATTCTGGACAATGCTGAGAGCAGTCTAAGTGAACATCAACTTTTTTGCAGAAAGCATTACTGATCTAAAGGAGGGTGGGAGACTGGTTATGTGTCTCTAGAATGCCAACCCAGTATTAGCTGTTCCATTTATATTTTAATATACTCCCTAAGGTATGCACAGATGTTACAGCTGCCATGGGATCCTTGAGTCCCTGGAGCCTAGGAAATAAAAGTGTAAATTGTAGCATCACAGATGTGGGACTGCCTGGTGATTATCTCCTTACCATCATCAGGATGTGACTGGCAGTCTGGATTAGAGCAAGATTTAAAGCCTTGAGTTGTACTATTGATCTCAATGTGTACTTTTGCTCAGCAGCTGCCACCACCTACTAAATTACTGCTTTGTCACCAGGCAATAGGACTCCCAAGATGAAGAGCAGTTTGTGGAGTGCAGGCATGTATCCCCTGATGTCATGGTCCCGTCACGACATTGACCAACTTGTGTAAAGCATGGAATCATTCGCAGTTCACCTCATCTTTGCACTTGTGCAGCAGTTTACATCCTTTAAGTCAGGGGTGGCCAAACTGTGGCTCTTTCACACATATTGTGTGGCTCCCGGCAGGGCGGCTGCGGAAGCGTGCTTTTTCTCCCTCCCCCCCCATCTATTTGCTTCTTCTGTTTCTCTCTCTCTTTCCTCTCTTTCTTTCCACCTCTTTCATTCTTTCTTTCCACCTCCCTCTTTTTCTCTCTCTCTCAGACAAATCAATATCATTAGCAAACAGATAAATATCATTGGACAAATAAATATCATTATCAATTATCTGTTTTGACCCCTTTGGTTTTGATTTTTGGCAGTCACATTTAACGTTAATAAAAAGCAAATTTGCATATGTATATTTAATAAAAATGTGTGTGTGATATCTGCTCATGTCTTGCGGCTCTCAAACACCTGACGTTAATTCTGTGTGGCTCTTACGTTGAGCAAGTTTGGCCACCCCTGCTTTAAGTGATCAACGTTGGATAGACTGCATTGATTGCTTTCTGTTCCTGTGCAATAAGCAGCATCTACTTGGAAACTGATCTCAAGAGCTGTTTGCAAGATTATTAGAAACCGAAGGCACACAGAGAACCTAAGCGTCACAACTCAAATATATCTTTTGCGTTTTAAAAGCTGGCATTGGCACACAGGCGGTGATGGCGGCAGCTGAAAGAACCCTGAGCCTGCTTCAGCGGGGAGGGCGGGGTATAAAAAGTAGTATAATCATGTGTTTTAAAAGACTACAGTCATGCTAACTGGGTACATACACACAGTTTACCAGATGATCTCTCTTGGTGAGCAGAATGTGAGCCAAACTGGCAGCAGACTGAGTATGAACAGAACAAATGCATTTAAGATTGTCTGATGGGGACCAGGAAAGAAAGTTTATTAGCTTAACCTACTGCTGGTGACTCTCTACCTAGAGCAAGAGGCCAGTTATTCCCGCTTTAGCTGTATCCCAAACTATAGGCCATTTACATTTTATTAATATTATTTATTTTAAATAGTTCTCTCCACCCAAAAGTCTCAAGGCAGTTCACAGCAATTTTTAAAAGACCTCCAAAATAATAATACAATTTGTACAGAAATACAATCCATCAGACCATTTGAAACAACAGCAGCAGCACTAAAAGCAATAATGAGGCAGAAGAACTAATAAAAAATCTAATACCTGCACTTACTGTATTGTAGAAATGATTGTTTTATTCTGTTTTTAATTGTATTAATCTTGGCATACGTGCCTCATCTGTTAGCTGTCCTGAGCCCGCTTTGGGGAGGGCGGGTTATAAATCCAAAAATAAAT